CTCCACTGATTTCACCACATGAAGCTGATAAGTCACAGTATACTAAAACCAGTGGAATCTCAGGAGTGGCCAGATAGTACGATCATTCCTGCAATAATCTGCCGCTTCTTTTATCTATATTTCTGATAAAACCTAGTTAGATATTATTTTTCCATTTGGTCTATTACCACTTCCTTAAGATCAACAAGTTTTTAAAACAGCAAAAACTACCCATTTTGAAAATGATGACTACCTTAGTTTCTTATTTTATTAATTGATAAAGAATTGTATGAGAATGAGAGTTAAAGACCATTTCATAGTGCGAAGAAAGGAGGAGGTGGGGGTTGTAAAAATATCTTGAATTTACCTGGAAAACAGGCCAAATTCAAGAGGTAACAGTGATTGCAGAAAGGTGTTGGACTCTATAGTCCTACAGGGCAGGCTCAGTCTCATCAACAGTCATCTGTTGAAATACCCACAAAAAAATCCTGTGACTTGAAAATATGATCATGCTGAGAAAGACTGTTTATGCTTTAAAGCTGTGGGATTATAAACCGAAAAACAGGATGTATATGTAACCCTGAACATACCAGTTACTTACTGTACTAACAATTTCTTGTATCAAAAAGGTTATCTAGATCTGCTGCAATACATATTTCTACAGTAGCACCTTGCTGCCAACAGCTGGAACCATCTCTGATGGTTTCTTGAAGATACATAAATACTGAGGACGTGTCAAAGTCTGTGTTCCTTTGGGATTAATAAAGAATTTTTGAAAGTTAGTTAAAATGAACTAGATTTAATGGTTTCGTTTGTTAATGTCTGTGATCGACAAGCGACTTTTCCAGTGTGTTTTTAAATGGTTAATGCACCTACTGTAAGTGAATTCCAAAAACACTGCAACAAAACAATTTCAGCAGCTAGTCCCTAGAAGAAAAAAGTAGTGATATGTAATAAGAGCAGGAAACCTTAATTACTCTATGCTCTCAAAATGATATAATTCCTGAAACCGTTAGGCTCATAGCCTAAAACTAGAACTTTTAAAATGCATTTCTTTTAAATGATCCAGCCCAAAAGCTGGTCCCAAATCTCTTATGTAAACCTGTTGATGAGGATTACATCAACATTTTCTTTTGTTTTAAATATTTAGCTGCAGCTACCTATTGTCAATATTATATGTTAACCCATTAAACACTCTATACAATCAGGTTTTAAATTAAGTTTATCCTTGCCTTTTTTTCAGTACTTGTGTTGCTTTAGTATTATGAAATAGTCTTTTTATTCAGATGTGTTTTCCTACCATTTTTAAAATTATGTTTTAAAATATAGACCTGAGAAGAAGTCCCAGAATCCAACATAGATGCTCTTGTAATAACCATCATTATTTACAAAATGAGTAGCTGATTAGCATTTTTTTCACCAGACATCTCTAGATGGGAAGAGATACAATTTTTTTTATGCCGCCACTTATATGTACTCTTTATTTTTAGTTTTAAGATGTAGCGATAGCAAATTGAATTAAGCTGAAGGATTGTATTAATCATCAGTAATTACATGTGATATTTAGTAGGCGTAGTGAGAGAATTCATTAACATTTGTATGTTCTATTCTTAGCTGTGCAATTACAAATCACATGCCCAAGTCAGCATCTAATTTCTGGACAGATCTCTTCTTGTGTGATCTAAAAATATGGAGAGGCATAATGTGACATAGCACAGTCTGTCATCAATTTACTGAGCCCCTTTATACAAAAGGTCATGTCTCAGGTAACAAAAGACAATAAACAATATTTCAAACTCTGGTATGAGAAACATTTGTAGCCTTGACACATTTTCTAGTATTTATATATGCATTGTGTTTTATTTACAAAATTATATATATATAAAGGGAAGTGTTAAATCCATCAGAGACCCACTTCTACATTCCCTGCAGTTCGCCCACAGTGCCAGCAGGACTGTTGATAATGCTATAAACATGGTCCTTTAGTACATCCTGCCTAAGAACCTATGCCAGGATTCTGTTTGTGGACGTCAGCTCTGCTTTTCACACTATCATCTCAGCCATGCGCTGGACAAGCTCTCCCACATCAGTTTGTCTGATTGTTCTGCAGATGGCAGATCTCTTGATAGACATGATGCAGAATGCAAAACTTGTAAAACAGGTCTCTGATTCAAGGAACCTTATTACTGGTTCCCCTTAGGGTTGTGTTCTTTCCCCTCTGTTCTGCTCTCTGTAAACCTAGTGCTGCACCATCAGCCACCAGTCTATCAAACTCCTAAAGTTTTCCTTTAATGAGCCCAATGAGGACTTATCTTGTGACTTGATGGAGCCAGAACAGTCTAAAGCTGAAGCTCTGGTTCTTGGGCACCATAATCTGTAGGACTTCATGTGCGAGCTTTCCACACCAGAAACACTAACACTACAGATGCTCCAGATTCATCATAAGTACGCTGCATTATGTTAATATCATTGTTTCGGCAACCTCAATGATTTTTGGCTGGGAAACTTTTAGCCAATCATATAGAGTAATGTCACGGACATGCGCAGGGACCAGTGTAAATATACTGTGAAATGTGTCCACTGTCTCAACAATTAAAAACAATAAAAATTTTGTGTCAACATAACCTTCAAGAAAACTAAAAGGAATTTGAATATACTTTCCCGCCAATAATGCAAAATTGTTTAGCATTAACTTGGGTTTATTAACTTTTAGTACAATATTTAGTATGAAATGTAATTGTATGAATGAATAACTTTCTCACCTGGACAGACAAATAAATAAAGGAACATTACAACAGTCGGGTAAATTCTGATTCAGTTTCAGAATTAGTTGTGAAGTATGACAAATATATCTGATAAGCCTAGTTATACCCAAGTTATGGCTAAACAATTATGCATTATTCGTGGTAAAGTGTGGTGATGAAATTTATTTTGCTTTTCTGGAAGGTTATTTTAACACAAATTACTCTGCACTTTAGTTTGTTTTTTCTGTTTATTCTTAACACACCACAAAGTGGACGCATTTCACAGTATATTTAAATACTTTAGTTCTTATGGGCAGTAAGGTTTGAATACATTTTTTCTTAGGGTTGGAGCAAGTTTCCAACAAATTATATCTGAACCTTTACTATGTACTTTTCTTTTCAGTGACCTATTTTTTATCAAAATAATTTTCTGTTATATTTTTACTTGAACTCAATCTTTCGAGCAACCTAATGATACAGTATATATCTTTGAACAAATATGGATTCACTCAGAGAAATTGAAATTCAGTTCTGATGGTAAAATATTGATGGTATTTTTAGTTAATAGCTGTTTTTGTGAAGGGGGACAGTCATTTCAGACAAACTAAATGGAATCTTTGTTTTGGTCACAGCTATTTGTTTACACAAAATATGTTTGAAAAAAATGCATGACTGTTCCCAAAGACAAAATTTGAGCATGTATGGTAATTACTCAGCTGTTAGTATTGGCAGGGACAGAACTGGGACAGAAAATCGGTCCTAGCATGTTAGACCAGACCTGCCATCCATATTCAATGATGTGCCCCTTTTCCGTCTCTTAAATATGTAAAAAAAACAAACTGTTCATCTCTTTAACAGTGCATATCTTTAGCCATGCGATAATTTAAAGTTAATCAGTGCAAGCATCCGTATTAAATACTCCCAAAAAGTAACATTTGTTGAATGATAAAAAGTTATCAAAAGTGTGACTTATAGGTGAGCTATGATGGTTACAGTTTAATTTTTTGTATACAGAAAAGTCATTATTTTCCAAAAAGTTTTGTTAATTTTGCACTTAATGAATTATGAAACCGAAAGCCTATAATTTAAATATTTCACCGAAATGAAGGTGTACTTTAAATTCATTAAAATGACAAGTCTCCTTCAGGTTAACAGCATATTATTAAGGTCACTGGGTCAAGTTTCTTCTTTTTTGAATACAAGATGCTTAATAAGCCAATAAAGATGGCAGGTTTTGTTGTTAGAGCACCTCTGAAACTTGAGGAGAATATATATAAAAAAAAAATACTCTTCATAAATTGAAGAGCAGGATAACCTTCAGCATCCTCTTTATCAGACTATTGAAAAACAGTATATTCAGTCTAAGGCTTCTTAGACCTGTGACAGAGTGCTACATGAGATGCTTTCTGTCTACAGCTATCAATTCATTGAAGAAACTCCTATAAGAGCTACAACTACAACTGTACTGAAAAAAATATTTGATATCCCTTTTGATCGTCAGTTTTAGTCAAACTAATTTTACAACATCCCTGCTTCACAATGAAAGAGGTGAAGACATCATGTTGTGGGGATCCTTTTAAGACATCAGTTCAGAGTTAAGAGAGATAAATAGAGCCAAATCCAAGGCAATACTGGAAAACTTGCAACAATAGTAAACCTTCAAAGTTTAGCTTCTTGCAAATTTGTACCTGGGGAAACATACTTTAATCAAATGCTGATATACCTGCTCAGCATGCAGTCAGCTTCAACTGTGACCTGTTAATGACCTAATTGTTTAAATATGTGTGTTTAAGCACATGCAGTCAAAAGAGCAATAGATCGATTTAGAAATAAAAAGTGATATAATGAGCTGGTCAAACAAAAACCTAAATCTATTCAAAGATTATGTCCACTGACTCTGCATGTAGTTTGAACAGACTTGACCTATTTAGAAAAAAATATTTAAGGGGAGTTAGTCTCGGAGGGGAGTTTGTTATGTAATTTGACAAAATGTATAAAGATTTAGGAGTAAATATATAAATGGTATAAATCCATATACAGCAAATATTGAAAGGTGTTGGATTTCAGTCAACATTAATAGTTACTTTGCTCTTTTTATGTTTCTGATTTTGTCAACACAATGCAAAATAATCCAGACACTTGCTCTGCAGGTGTGAAATTTCAGCTGCACGAATTAACTGCTGCTCTGTCTCTCCTTCCTCCGTGAATGGATATGTGGGGCGGGGGAGCGCGCCTCCGATTGGCCAGGGACGCGCTCCTCTTGTCATTTTCGCTCATATGGCCGTGAACGCCACTGCGCTCAGTGCGCGCATCTCTGCTCCAACTTCAAACCGCTTCTGTCAGATTACTGAAAAGCAGACGGCTTTTACGATGGATGCTACTATTTATGACATCATACTGGGAGAGCTCGCAGAGCTGAACTGTAGTTTGATAGAACATTTTCAAGACACTTTTTATGAGAACGCTTCATTGGCTCTGATGAGCGCTGATGGTAAGATAGCATTTTTTTTGTTTGTTCAGATTTTTTTTTTTAATTATTGTTGTTTGTTACAGCTTTTTTTTATTTATTTCTTTATTCCTATATATTGCATACCCCCAAGGTTTATATTGTAATGCCACCACGGATGAGATTGGAACCTGCTGGCCGCGCAGTGGCACTGGCAGGATTGTGGAGAGACCGTGCCCTGCTTATATCAACGGAGTGAAGTACAACACAACCAGTAAGGCATTTCAGAAACAGCAGAAGTTTTTTTTATCTTTATTTTATTTCTTTGGTATAATAAACGTGAGACTTAATTTATATTGTGATTATTGATTTATATATTTAAAAATTTGAAATTTAAATGATGATGGATGTTGTTAAAAGTCCTGATTTCATTTTAGACTGGCACATTGTTAAATCCTTGCTGTTCAAATGTAAAGCACCTTTAACAATGACCCATTAGACTACATCTGCTGTGTCTGGAACAGCTGCTTTTCCCCAATTCAATTCCCAAACCTTAATCTCTTAGAGTGTCTTGTAAAAGTTGCTACTCATTGCTCTTGATCGCCTATTTATCTCGTTGTAGAGTGTTGCTGCTACAAATTCAGTGTGTTTCATTTTTACTGAGGAGAACAAAGTATGGAATAATTTTATTTTAAAAAGAGATTTATATTATGCCTGCTTATTAAGAAAACTCGCAACTGACAATTTTACAAGTGACAACAAGAAAATGGGTTTTTGTTTCTGTTTATACAATTCAAATCAATACTTTCTAGAACCACCTTTTGCAGTCAATACAGTTAAAAGTCTCTAAAGCTTTATCTCAATAATTTTTGCACATTTAGACATTGATGCTACTAATTCATTCTTTTGAAATGATTTAAGATCAGCGGGACTAGATAGAGAATGTCTAGGGACATACAATTTCAGAGATCTGACTGCCTCATTTGTTCACATTAGGATGTTACCATGCTGAAATCCCTCCTCAGTGCCAACTCTTTTACAGCATATATTTTTTATTAAGGGTGTTATACTGTATTTAGTCCCATCCCTCTACCCTTCAACTCTCACAGCTGGCCTTTTCCTGCTAAAGAAAAATATATCTTCAGTATGATTCTGCCACCCCTACTTTACGTCGTACTGTATAGGGCTGTTGAATGCAGGTTGATGCGTAGTGTTAATTTTCCCTAAAGGTACAGTGGACCTCTATTTTTTTTTTTGGCTGGCCTCTTGGTTGACACGCATAGCTTGGAAGATTTGCAGATATGTCTCACTCCTACAGTTTTCTTTGTAAGGTGATCAAATATTTGTCCAGATAGTTTTTAATTTTTGGATAATGGAGTGAACAGTTTTCTGTACGATGTTTTGACCTAATTCTGCTTTAAGTATCTTCACTACTTTTTACCAAGGTTCTTTGATTTTAGTGATGCTTTCTAACAAACCCAAGAAACCATGACAGAACGGATACTGAGATTGAATGACATATATGTGAACATGAGATTTTCTCCAAAGAAGTGGAGAGGGCAGGTCTTTTAAAGAAATCCTCCACAATACTTTTAAGGTTCACTGGGTATTAATAAACCTTTACAGACATTATTTATCTGTCCTTCTGTCTCAGTGTTTTACAAAGAACAAAGTAATCATGGGGTATATGTAATAGTATAGGCTGATTGTTTAAACAAGTAACTGAAGATTTGTAGACAATGGCAACATTTTAATTGTGGCATCAAATGAGAAACTGTTAGCTGTAATGTTCAGCAAGATAGTCCTAGAAATGTTTTGTGCTGATATTTCATTCGATACAGCCATAAAATGGTGGTATCGGTATCGGCGAGTACCAACAAATAGGGCATGGATACCATTTTGAGAGCCAAAAGTCAACTATTGTCACCCATTCCAGGTGAGAAATAAACAGTTCTACTGGATTCACTTTGTATTAGTCTTTTTCCTGCTTTACAAGGTAGGCAGAGGCTTGACAAAGCAATGATGGCAATTATTTTACATCCAAGCAGTTCTTCATATATACACCCACACATCTATTTCAAACAGATGGTATCGGTATGGTATCAGTATCGGCCGATACTGCACAGGCAGGTATCGCGTATCGGTATCGGGGCCAAAAAATGGCATCGGCGCAACACTAATCTTTATGTGACTCTTTGTATTTTGAAAGCAACAGAAGAGAATACTACTGGAGAAACTACTGCTTTAAAGGCTTACATAACATTTAAACCTTGCAGTTTGTATTCCTTAATACTAAAATAAATTAGTTTTAAAACCTTTATATTGTTATATCAAATTTTAGTCCAGTGTTTTCAACGGATTTTTACATTTTTAGCCGTTATTATCATGACAGAAGTCCTCTGTTTTTATTCATCCTTCCCTCAGACAGATAACAAAAACATTAGACAAAACTTCAATATAAGGCAATAGGGGGACATTTATCTTTTAACGGTCTAAAAATGAAAGCCTTGGACTTACTTATAATTCAATCTAGCCATGGGTTTGAAAAGGTTTAAATAATGTAAATTGTTACATATTTTTCACTGGTCAAAATGTAGTGATTATACTTTCTTTTCTTAACTGAAACAGCTTTAGGTAGAAAAGGACTGATATTCAATATCCCAGATAAAGGGCACTAAACTGCATGCACAGTTTCTTTTCTTAGTACGTGCTTTAAGATGCAAATATTGAGATGTTTGAACTGGTTTGGTTCTGCCCCATTAAAATGAGCTACTATAGCTGCATGTTCTACAAACTGTTGAGAGTGGTCATAAAAGAAAGACGAGGTTCAAAGCCATGTAGTTGGACATAATAAGGATAAAAATAATTTTAGTTGGAAGTTGGTTCCAAAGGAGAGGAGCCTAATGACTGAAAGATCTGCCTCCCATTCTACTTTTTGTAGGAACCACTAGTAAATCTGCAGATTGAGAGTGAAGTATTGACTGCTAGAAACATAAGGAACAATCAAATCTCTGATATAAGATGGAGCTTGGCTATTTAAGGCTTTATATGTTTGAAGGAGGATTTTAAATTCTATTCTTGTTTTAACAGGAAGCCAATGAAGAGAAGCTATGATAGGAGAGATATGATCTCTCTTTTTAATTTTCATCAGAACTCCGGCTGCAGCATTTTGGATCAGCTGAAGTCTTTGAACTACAGTTTGTGGGCTTCCTGATAGTAAAGAATTAAAATAGTCCAGCTTTGAAGTAACAAATGCATTGACTAGTTTCTCAGCATCAACCCTGGACAGGATATTTCTATTTTTTTCAATATTCCGCAGATGAAAGAAGGAAATGTCTTTGATATGGAATTTAAATTACAGGTCCTGCTAAAAAAAAACACACAAAGATTTTTTACTTTATTATTTGAGATCAATTTAATCCCATCCAAATAAAATGAGTGACTAATAAGATTCTTTTTCAAAGACTCTGGTCTAAAGACTATAACTTCTGTTTTGTCTGCATTCAGTAGCAGAAAGTTAATGTAATCTATGTAATGGGCTAGCCTCATCCGGATTTAAAGACAGATATAGCTGAGTATCATCAGCTTAACAGTGGAAATAAATCCCATGCTATATACATATATATATATATTCACTATATACATACACATATATGTGTATGTATATAGTGAAGAGAATTGCTCCTTGCACTGACTCCTCTGGTACTCCACAGGTAACCCTTGACCATGAGGATGATTTGTCATTACCGTGAACAAACTGAAATCGATCAGATTGATAAGATTTAAGCCAGTCTATTGCTTTTCATTTAATTCCTACAAAATATTCAAGTCTTTCACTAAAGACTGTCATCTGTCTTGCTGCATTATTTTTACCCGCCTGCATAGTTGTTGAATCCTTTTTAATTTTATTCTACTATTCTTATTTTTGCATGTTGACAGAATATCTCTCCATTGTCTGGTATGATACCATTGCCTCCTTTATGGCCAAAATGACCAGAGATATTTTAGGATGTTAGTTTGCACCTTACTTTCAGAAGTACTACAGTAAAGGAGACACAAAAACCACTCAAGTTGAGTTTCTGATTTGGAACATTGCTTTGCACATGATAAATATCAACATTTGCATATCCTTGACCCATGAATTGACATGGTTTGGTCCAATCAAATATGATGAAGGCACAGACAAAGAGAATGATTTGCACACGCTTTCTGCTAAATCGCAAACACAACGCATTTTGCATCTTGTGTGAAGGTACACAAAAACACACACAAACTTTTACTTTTAAAGTTCAGACCAAAAGTTAAGTCTTCCAAAAGAGATATATAATATAATGGTATCATATGTGTCTTTGTGTTGATAACTATTGTAATTTTGGTAGTATTTTTATATGGGCTGTTTTATGAAAACTGATTGGAAGACTCTTTAGCCCACAACCACTTAGAATGTAGTAATGAAAAGTATCTCTTTTTTTGAACGATCAGAGAATTAATTTTGTTTAACACTTGAACAATACAGTCATTCCATAAAATGTTGGTGTTTGCAAGGGCTCAAAAAATTTATTGTAATATATTTTGTGATCGTATTACATAATGAATATTTGAAAATACTAAAAATATCAAAAAGGCAATTACGGCAAACAAAAATAACTGAGAAAAGACTGACGTAAATGCCCTAAAGATATTGATTAACAGAACTGAATTAGAGTTGGGAAATTAAAATTAAGATTGTTAATTATCTGTGGTTCTTTTCATTTAAAATGTATTGACTTAGATGTATGTATTCTAAAATCAATTCTGTTTGAAATAAAAGAAATTGAATGAAAAAAAAATAGCAACAAAGGTATACATTGTCATATGATGTAACTAAAAGGGAAAAAGTCTAACTTTAAGCTATAAAAAGCAAGGTTAAACAATATATATATGGAATATAGCATATCTGTTTAATTCATCTATCATTTGCACACGGATGAGGAACTTTTAAGCTGATTATGTAAAATGCACCGTTGTCAGTACAGATAACCGCAGCAATGCATTGATGTTACACATATTACAGGCCAAATTAACAATCACAGATGATAACTTCTTCATGGACCACTGCCCTGACGAAAAAAATGGAAGCTCTTAAAAGCTTTAGGTAACTTGACTTACTGAAGGTCACCCAGAGGACTATAAGTAGTCCTGTACTCTCTACAAAATATCAAATATAAGCAAAATGTTAAAACCTCGGATTACTTTTTTGCCTCTGTATTGTGTACATTACAAAGGCAAAAAAAG